TGGTTAAGCAGCCAAAACTCGCTGATATATTCCTGCAGAGGGCACCAGCCCTGCTTCAGGGTCTTCAGACATTAGGTAGCGGTCTGTGCTTTAATGGGATCCTCATACATCAACCAGAGATGGTCACAAAAACCCCTGAAATCATCCAGCAAAGGACTAGTCTGGACCAGCAGGAGCATGGCCCAGCAAGCTGTAGTGCCAGAGAGTAGGCCAATCATTAACTTTATCCCAGTCAGTGGAGAAGTCTTCGGCTCTCGGGCTGATAAATAGCTGGCATTGTCCAAAGAAAGCTGGAAATTGGTTGCCATCGAATTTATCAGGCACAGCCACCGGGCATTTCTTCCGGGGAAGAGGTAAAGCAGCATGAGCTTAGACCTGAACCACCTGGGCTACCAGCAGGGCCACCTGTTGATTAAGCTGAGTGTTCCACAAAAAGCTGTTCCATCTTAATAGAGGTTTGTTTTTAGGCAGAAAACAAACTGTTCTGTCCTAGGCTTCCCCATAAAGCACTAAGCAAACTCTGAGTCCTGGCAAAACCTCTTTTATTAAATGAATGTGAATTTATTGGATTCACATTCAGCCAACAGATTGGCAAACAGTCTTGCAAAGGTATAATTATTAGCTCAGACCTTATCTATCTTGGAAAGCTGTCCGGTAAATATTTCCATACGCAGTGCGGACAGGGAAGGCTGGGCACAGAGTCTCTAGGCTACACAGACAGATCTTCACAAGGCTGGAACAAATGAATGAATGAACAAATTGTTTCCTGCAAAATCCCCCTCCCTTTTGCTCTTCTTTTAATCCTTATGGGAGGGCCATTCATCATCCACCTTTGGCCTTGCTCCCACATCAACTCTGAGTTCTTAATTGTTCCTTCCTGTGTGCATGCACAAGCTGGGAATCAGTTCCAGAAGCTCCCCCACCTCACTGCTGTCTGAGCCCGAAGGCAGCTGAAGACTGCCAGCCTGCCCTGGCCTCATCTCTGCCTCTGATGCAGAGCCCTCATCTGAACTTTCATCAGCCTCCAGGACTGGCCCAGGTTCCTCCCCAACCTCCTCGCTGTCCAACTCTGCTGCCAGCTCCGTCAGCTGCTGGCGGGCCACAACAACTACAACCTACTTCTTGGCAAGCTAGAAAAACGTGGAATTGATAACATCACCATTAGATGGACTTGTATCTGGCTGTCAAACCATACTAAATGAGTAGTCCTTAATCCCTACATCCATGTGGAGTAGGCCCTAGGTTCCTAAGGCCCAGTACTCTTCAATATCTTCATAAACAACATACATGAGGGAATAGAAGGAGAATTTACCAAATTTGTGGATGATACTAAGCTGGCAAGAATAGCCAACATCCTAGATGATGGACTTAAGATCCAGATGGATCTTGATAGACTTGAACATTGGGTCCTATCTAACAAAATGAAATTCAATGTAGAGAAAAGTAAAGTCTTACACTTAGGCAAGAAAAACAAAAGTACACATATAGACTGGGTGAAACTAGGCTTAATCCCTGTGAGGGGGATTTGGAATCTTATTGGACTCCAGCAAAATATGAGCCAGCCATGTGCTGTGGCAGCCAAAAAAGCCAATGCAATCCTAATAAATTGCATTAACAGAGGGAATCAGTATTTAGTATTTTTTAATATTTATTTGATTTGTCAATCGCTTACAAGATACAAGTATAAGAATAAATATAGTTTTGAATACATGAGATAGATACTTATGAGAAAAATAAAAAACAATAAGACAGGGACGGTAGGCATGAGGGTGCGCTTATGCACACCCCCTACATGCCTCTTAGAAAGTGAGTGAGGTCAATAGTAGACAGTCTAAGGTTAAAGTTTTTGGGGTTTGGGGAAGAAACTACAGAGTCAGGTAGAGTATTCCAAACATTGACCACTCTGTTGCTGAAATTGTATTTTCTCAAGTCAAGTTTGGTGTGTTTAACCTGGAGTTTGAATCTATTGTGTGCTCTTGTATTGTTATGATTAAAGCTGAAGTATTCATTTGCAGGTAGGACATTGCAATGTATGATTTTATATACTATATTTAGGTCAGCATAGTTCTAGGTTTTCTAGGTCTAGAGTTTCAAGTCTGGTGGCATAAGATATTCTGCAATGAGTAGAGGAGCGGAGAACTCTTCTTGTGAAATATTTCTGGACTTTTTCAATTGTGTTAATATCAGATACATGATATGGGTTCCAGACTGATGAGCTATATTCAAGTATAGGTCTAGCAAATGTTTTATATGCTCTAGTTAGTGGTGTGATATTACCAGAGAAGAAGCTACGCAGGATTAGATTAATAACTCTTAATGTCTTTTTGGCTATGAAGTAACAGTGGTCTCTAACACTCAGATCATTAGAGATGAGTATTCCAAAGTCCTTGACAAAGTTTGGATTCTCAACAAGGTCTTGACTATTTAGCTTGTATTTTATTTTCTGATTTTTTCTGTCAATATGTAAGACAGAGCATTTATTTGTTGAGATTTGAAGTTGCCATTTGATTGACCATTCTGATACATAGTCAAGGTCTTTTTGGAGGGTAGTAGAATTGTCTGTGGTGTTGAATAGCTTTACATTGTCAGCGAAGAAAACGCAGTTGCTCTTAATATGATCACAGAGGTCATTTATGTACAGTATGAAGAGAATTGGTCCTAGAACACTGCCTTGGGGGACACCACTGTTGACAGGTACAGCATTTGATAGGATGCTCCCAATTTTGACCATTTGTTGTCTGTTTGACAGGAATGCTTCTATCCAGTTATGCAGGTGTCCAGAGATACCATAAGATTTTAGTTTTAGGAGTAGTTTGTTATGTACCACTGAATCAAAGGCTTTACAGAAGTCTATGTAGATTGCGTCTATGCTTTGCCCTGATCAAGTTGTGTAGTCCATATGTTTTTGCAGTGTAAGAGTTGCAGATTACGGGATAGTTTTTTTCTGAAACCAAATTGTTTATTAGAGAGTAGGTTGTTTGTCTCTAAGTGGAGGATAATTGATTGGTTAACAATTGATTCCATGACTTTACAGGTGACGCAGCATAAGGAGATTGGTCTGTAATTTTCAAGTAGGCTGGGGTCTCCCTTTTTGAATATGGGGATGACCATGGCTTGTGACCATAGTTTTGGCAAGGAGCTGGTCCTGAAAGATTTTTCAAAGATTATGCTTAGAGGTTCTGCTATAGCAATGCATAGCTTTTTTAAGAAATAGACACATATTCCATCCGGTCCAATAGATAGAGATGGTTTTAGATTCCGCAGTGCTTTTTCAACAATGTTTTCTGTAAAATCAATATGTATTAGATCATTATAGTTGTCTGTCAATCAATCAATCAATCAAGATCAAATGTAATACTAATACTAATAAAGCCTTAGTAAGACCACACCTCGAATACTGCATCCCGTTTTGGTCATCACATTATAAAAAGATATTGAGACTCTAGTTGCATAGAAGAGCAACAAAGATGATAAGGCGATTGGAAGCTAAAACATATGAAGAACAATTATAGGAACTGGGTATGACTAGTCTAGTGAAGAGAAGGACCAGGGTATACATAATAGCAGTGTTTCAATATTTGAGGGGCTGTCACAGAGAGAAGGAGGTCAACCTGTTTTCCAAAGCACCTGAAAGCAAGAAAAGGAATAATGGATGGAACTGATCAAGGAGAGATTCAACCTAGAAATAAGGAGAAATTTTCTGACAATGCGAACAATCAACCAATGGATCAATCTGCTTTCAGAAGTTGTAGGAGCTCCATCACTGGAGGATTTCAAGAAGAGACTGGACTGCCATCTGTCAGAAATGATGTAGGGTCTCCTGCTTGGGCAGCGGGGTGTGAGTGTGTTGGACTAGATGACCTACAAGATCCTTTCCAATTCTGTTATCTATTTTTTTTATCTGATTTCTGAACAATCTCTCCTCCAATATTTTCAGCTTTCAGGATTTTCCATCAATTATTTAAATCCCAAGGGAAGACCTGCAAATCCTTCCTTGGAGTTTTTTCAGTCATGATGCTACTGTCACTACTAAAGGTTTCTTATCCTGAAGGGGAGGGTTAGTATGTATGCATGCATGCATCTGTGTATATAGCTGATAAAGCCTATCCTTTCTTCATTGAGAAAATGTAGTGATTTTATTGGCCTAACAACACTTTTCCATTATTAATTAAGCCATAGCTGCTTATACCATCCAATTATCTGAGTTCATACCTACTATACACAAATAAACCCTTAATTTGAATTGTTAGAATATAACATTTAAATGTGGCTCATGGTGTCACACAAACACAACCATAGCAGTGACCTCAGTTTTACTAATACAACATGATAAGGAGACAGCTATTAAGAGTCTTTCCACAATTTATTACATCACTGCCTCCATGGCAAAAAAATGTCTGCGGACCTTGCTCCTATTTTGCCACAGCAACAGCCAGATGATGCTATAAACGGCTACTTTAAAAATTCTCAATGACTGACCAGGATATGAAATCAACTCTGATTTGTAAACTACAGCTAACCATAGCAGTAATCTGGCATAAAGGGATGTTCAGGGTTACATCTTATTCTTCCTGGAAAAATGAGAGAACAGCTATCCACTACCTCACTGGAAGTGTGATCCAGAAACAGAAATATTTGGATTTTAGACTTTGAGGCTTTGCTACAGTTCTTCGTCAGATTAAACTCCTTTCCACTACTAAAAACACGTGCTTCGTTCCAAGGCGCCGAAGAGCTTTGCCTCCCGCCCTTAGCCTCTCTGTGTGTTATGTCCACGCTTTCTACTCAGCTCGCTCCCTTTCAGGGCTGGGGCGGGGGCGGGGGGAGCGGTGTGTCGGCTTCTCCGCGTAACATCTACCGGGCTGGGAAGGAAAAGGGAGGGACGAAAGGAGCAAACAGTAGCAGTGTCCGCGTCGACCGTCCTTGATTAATTTGATGCCGGCGAACAATCCATAACTTGTAAGCAGGAGCTTTGAGAACCGGAGGAGGAGGAGGAGGCATAAAACACGAAGGCGATAGAAAAAGGCTGTAGGATTTATTAGTTGTTAAGTAGAAAATCCACGCCTGCATCTTGGAGTCCGAGGAAACACGCTGGCTCCGGAGGGATGGTGAAGCGAAAACACGCGAACTAAAGGGAGAGCTTTTTGATAGCTAGTCATAGCCGCTGTCTTTCCTGTCAGAGGCGAAATGATTCCTCCGGGTAACGCGACTGAAGTCAGCCTTGAGAGGGTGGAGAACGAAAATGACATTCAGCCCCCCTCTCCTGCCTCTACCACCAGCCAGGAATCAAAGGTATTTCCAGCGTCGGGTGTGTGCATCATATATCCATACAGATACACATTCACGCAAACGTTCATATATAGACGGGCTTTTGGTCAATAGCCCAACTATCAACCCGAGCCACTTATATTCAAACACATTTCAACTCACATACAGATGTTTATCTCCAGCGGAGTACCCAATTTTTCATCTTTTCCTATTGGAATCTTCGAGATGGCTCTAGAGGGGTTGCGTGATTGGTTTGGGTTTTTGAATTGTTACTGAAAGTGAATGTGTTTCAAAGGATTCTTTAGTGGGAAAGTTTTCAAGTATTTATTCCTGGAGGAATGGGGGGCATTTGTTTTTGGTTTTTTTTTAAAAAAACATTACTATATTTGGGGCTTTAGTAACTTAAATTAATAAATTATTCACTACTGTATTGAATAGACTGTGATTTATTTATTATAGACAAGTTCGCTACTCTCTTAAATGCTTTGCAAGAATTTTGTAGTTTAACCAGTAAGCAGATCAGCTGTTAAAGGTAAGCCATAGATCTTAGTTTGTGCCAGGATAGCTATCCTGTAACCAATAGGATTCCGTCCCTGTTTCCCCACCATTTTCTAAAACAATTGTTATTGGCCTGGTTAGCCCAACCTGCATGATACCAGCCAAGGTTTTGTTTCCAACATTTCAAAACTTAAAGTGATTTCCTATCTGCCACTGTGCAATTGGCAAACCATACAGAGGTGCAGTATGTTAAATTGCTCTCTATGGTGCAGTGGTCACCAGCAGTTTTTCATTCAGTTGTTGTTTTCTGAAAAGTCTCAGGTAGTCTCAAGTTTCTTTGGAAAGGATCAGTGGTTGTCAATCTGTGGTCCCCTGGGGGCCTTGATGTCATCACAGGGGATCACAAAGGCTTGAAGAAAAGTTTTAAATCTTAAGTTAGTTCTTGGGGGTCCATGGCCATGGTTCATGGCCAAAAAGGTATTTAAAGAAAACATTGAGAACCACTGGATTAGATTAAATCTGGAGCAGAATTCTGTAAAGGGACTGAAGCGGATTAAAGAAGTAATGAAACATTTCTTTTAATCTGGGCCTATTGTGAAAGGCTAGGGCACTCAGCCATTTGTTCACCAAATACATCAACTAAAGAGACTTTTTTTCAGACTACAATTCAACTCAAATCTGGCATATATTTCAATAGCTTAAAATATATGACACTGATTTAAATTGTGTTAGCACTGTTTGTCAGTGAGAATAATACTACATAAAGTATATACATAGACTCAATTTAGAGTCCAGGTAAGGTATTCTAAAAAGGCATTCTAAAAAGGGTCAGGGTTAAACTAACCTCAGGACAGGATGGGACATTCAAAGGTTGAAAACAGTACCAGGAAGACAACCAGAATGTTCTTACACAAAATGCTTTTCAAGGGACTTGCATTCCTTCAATTGCAAATACAGCTCCCATAGCTTCCAGTTAGATGTCAACTCCAGGAATTCAATCCATCAAAAGAGGCATTGAGACTTCAGTAAAATATCATTACTTGGTGAGAAAGAGGACAGACACTGCTGTAATTTTCCTTTCCATTGATCAATATAATTCCAGCAAATGTGTCAAATATAGAAACCAACCAACAAGCTAGTGCTCTGAATTGTATCATATAATCAATGAAACTGTTCCATGCTGTAATGAGAAGTTAAATGAAAGAACAACTGTGTGGCCTTGTATCTATGAGTGCTGTGGGATACAGGGAAGACTACAGTAACTGATACATATATTACTTTGGCCTGTGGGAGAAATAATTGGGGCATCTTGAATTTATAACAGGATTGCAGTCTAATCACAGGAAATATCAATTGTTTCAGCAGTTCTGAGTGAGTTTGATGCTATTTGAAGTATTTCTTTTTGATAAAGGTGGATATAAATTCTTCTTGGGAAACACCTTTGGCAGTTTGGAAATATTCTGTTAAATTTTCACATAAAAATGGCCGTATTTCAAACTATAAAGTATGAAATGATAACATTTTAAATCTAAATTACTCTTCAATTTTGAAATTCCAATTCTCATATTTTGGAGCACTCTTCAATGTTTTGTGTTGATCATTATATTTAGTTAACTAAATTCAAATGTTGGTATAAATAGTCAAATTATGCTAGTTTAAAAATGATACAGAATATTTAGTGTATTTTTCAAATGAGGAATAAAAGAGTATAGCTTTCCCTTTTTCCCCAGACATTATATCCTACCTAATTGGTTTAGTGGGAAGTCACTCTTCTTCTGAAAAATTAACAGTCTAAATTTTATTTTGGTTTTTCTTGGTTTTTAAGAAACAATTTATAAGTTCAAAGTTTAGTGCACATACATTAGCAAAGTTTATGCATTTTCTAAAAAATAAAAATCATGGTTGCCCCCAAATTGGAAGCTTTTAGGAACCTGTAAGACAAAAGGATTAAAGGAATTAGAAAAGGTAATGAGGAAAGTATCCTTTTTCTATCTTGAAGTTTGATTTCTGCTTCAGTGAGCGCCATGCTATGTTATGAGACTTGTAGTTTGGCCAGAAACTTGAGTAAAAGTACACATATTAAAAGACATTATAAAATGTTTCTTATAACCTTGCTTTTTGGATAAATAATTGGAGGAAGAATGGGGCTTTTTAATCTAACCATTGCTTTCTTGTCTTCTCCTTACTTATCAGTGCAACAGGTGCCTTAATTAAAGTGCTGCATTTCTTTTGGGCAACTCTAAATTATCTTGGGGACTGTCTTAAAGTCAAAAAGCAATGTGTAGCAAATTTCCCAGTGCTGTACTGTGTAAACATAATTCAAGGGTGACTATTTCTGAAGTTTACTCTTAAGACCTCAGTAACTACTTCTGTAGCTGCTTTTCTATCCTTGCCTTAACCAAAGGCAGATGTGTAGTCATCAAAGCACTGTTTTACTGATGCAAGCTAAAGCTGCTATTTTTATAACCCTTTCTATCCTATGGTCTTTAAAAAAGAAAACACAGATAGTGTTTTCTAAACAAACTGGATATTTTGCCCTTTTCAAAACCATATTCTACAAAATCAGTGAAGGCTTATTATAAAATAAATAAGTCTTATAATTTAAGTAGGGTTTGAAGTGCAGAAATTTGACCCTTGTTTCTATTTTGTTTGAAATTGGTTTCAAATTATGGTTTAATGGGTAGTTGCAGTCGGACATGCTGCTGTCCCATTTAGGCCATATTTCTTCTGCATAATTTGGCAAATATATGTTGCTGAATCCAATGTTCTATGATGTCCTTAGACATTTAGAATTGGAAAGAAAAGAAAACCAGGACAAATGTAAATTCCTTAGTTCAAACGGAACATTTGACAAGTTTATAAGCTAAGTTAGAAAAGCCATCATACAGCTCCTTTGGCAGTGACTGAAATCCTAAACATTAATTTGAAAAGTTCATTGGAATCAAGGCATGCTCTTTCAAATATGAAATATTACAAGAAAGTCAAGTTTATTAGAAGGTTCTCCTTTCTCATGAAAAAGCAAATCAACTGATTTCAGTACTTAATTGGCCCATCTTTTACAGCAGACAATTCTTCCTAGTAAATAATCATTTGTTTAAAGTTTCCCTTGCTTTTATATCTTGTTAAATTTCACAAATGTTCTTTCTATTTCCATTTGATCTTCACTAAATTCTTTGAGGTGTGTTGGGCTGACAGGAGTGATGGTTCAATAATTTCATGACCAAGTAGGGACAAGTTCCTCAAGATCCATGCTTTCTAAAAGATGAGAGCTTTGGAGGCACCACATGTGTCCCTCCAGCAAAAAAAAATTCTGCCCATGTCTCCTCAGATTGTTCCGCTGAAATTCAGTTGCAAAACAATGGTAGCTGGGTGGTTTTCTTATTTATATTGGGAGGCAATTGGAGTACATGGATTACACCTTTACTAAGTGTTAAATGGGCGCAGATGAAGAAAGAGCAGGACTCAGGAGTGTGAGAAACTCTTTATTTACAAACCGGAATCAAAAAGCAAACAAACACCGCCAGCGCTGACTTTTTATAGCCAGTGCTGTCCGATACTTCAGCCACTGATGGGGACTCAATCTTCCTGCCAGCAGCTGAAACCAGTAAGTGGAGTCTGATATCAGACTCCACTTTGCATCAGACTCCACTTTGCATATGATGTAACCCATGTAAATGTAGTGTCATGCATATTTAACACCCCGCCCCTCTTAGTTCAGGCTGACCAATCACCACATACGCGACAGACGTAGTCCTTCAGGTAGGAGGGGCTTCTGTGGGTACAATTAGGCCTGCGCAGTTCAGTTGTTCCTGAGGTGGCAGCCTGATTGGCAGGTCTGCTGGTGCTCCAGACTCTGCCTTTGGAAGTACCCCAAAAGTTTCTGGAAGTGTGTCAGTTTCTGTTGAGCTAGATGCCTCAGAAGTACTATGCTGGGCTCCTCCTCCCACAGCTAAGTCCTCGCTGTCCTATTCGGGGACAGCATATATATGATAATATATGTCTTTGTGGGGTTTCTAATTCCCGGGGTTTTGTTGTTGTTGGAAGTGTGCTGTGTTGTTCGGCTTCATGTGGGGGTTGAACTATGCGGCCCCGCAGTTGGTCTATGTGCCTGTTCCATGTTTTTCCCACTTCTACCTCCAGTCTGTATGATCTGGCTCTGGTACTTTAGATTATTTTTGCCGGGACCCAGGTTTCCCCTCCTATGTAGTTGCATGCATACCCTGTGTCTCCCGGTATGAATGTTCTGCCACTTCCCTGTGGAGTCTAGAGGGGTGTTGTTTGTATAATTTGGATGGATTCTGTCCAGGGTGGACCTTAATTTTCTGTTCATAAGCATTTCTGCTGGGCTTCTGTTTGTTGCTGTACTTGGTGTTGGGTTAGCAACAATTTGTTGATTTTTTCTTGCCAATCACCGGGGCCTAATTTTTTAAGAATTTCTTTGATTGTTCTGACCATTCTCTCCTCTTGCCTGTTCAACCACTGGATGAGCCAGTGCCAATAGGGCATGTCAGATCCCCAGATGGGCA